TGGAGTAAAAGTAGAAAGTATCCATTATTAAATCTACTTAAGTAAAGTACAGATACACAAAAATTGTACTTAAGTACATTAAGTACTTAATGTACCATTGACTTTGAGAAATAAAAGCATAATTGAGGTTTCTCTCTGTGAAAACACTTCTGCAGGGTTTCCCCCAGAAAACTTGCTAAGCCCGGTGGTCGGGGTGCCGAGGCAGTCCACCGGCGGTCCGCCGTGTTTTTGTGTTAAAAAATGTTAAGTAGACAATAAAAGTAAAAATATTACTGGGTGATTATATGTTATGGGAAAACATCGCCAGTGAAACACTACTTAAACCCACAACTAGTCTTAAAAACAACTAATCAAAAAATACAATTAAAATGAATATCAATTATTTCCACTTCAGTTAAATCCAAATTAAGTCAGCAGCTCCATTGGGCCCCCAGGGCTTCAGGGGCCCCATAGATGCTAATATTTTAACACAGACCACAGATGTATAAATGTAACATGTGTTTATTAAAATTATCATTGCTGCTAAATTTGACATAATGGTTTCAGCATATATAAATTAAAAGGCTTTAAATTATTTGACATATGTAAGCTGGCAAGATTACTTTGTAGAAGTTCAAAGAAAAATATTCATAGTAAGATTGGTTTGTTACCACAGCTACAATCTGATGCTGTTAGTTTAATCTTTGAGTTTCAGCTCCGTTTGTTCACAAATACAAATTAGTAAACCATAGTTATAATTTATTGCTTTTTAGGTTTGCCAGTTAAACTACTCCCCCTGTCCTAGATTTCACTAAATCTAATACAGAAGCTGTTAGAGGTGCTGATGTTTTTAGCAACAAAAGGGGCCCCCCAAGTCATATTCTGCTCCAGGCCTCATACACCCTTGGACCGACCCTGCATGATAAGTTAAACCCGCTGCACTGCGCAGAAATGAGCAACAAACGGGAGATTTAATTCAATGCTGCTAATGTGGCTTTAGTGACTCTTTCATTTCGTGTCTGTTGAGTTTTAATAAGAGTCACAGAAACTATTTTGGTTGGTCGAGTTTCTGGATGAGCTGCGCGCATTAACTCTGTCTGACTAAGTGGGCAAAACATTTGATACGGTTTGGTGCTTAGTGTAACCGGAAAATAATACTAACCTTTCCTGATGAACCTCCAAACTTCGTGGGGGAAACACAGGGGAGCTCCTTCTCGCTCCAAGGCTGAAGAGGTTGGGGACTTCAGGGTTAACTCCCTTGAGGTTCACAGCGGTGTGGTGCGGCAAGCAAGAGACAGTCCAAACGGTTCCTTCGGGAACTGAACGTTTATTTTAAGTGCGGTCACAAAACATACGACCAGGAACTGTTATGATCGCGCTCCAACATACACCCAACTCTACTTACTCTACTAAAGCTCTCTTATCTCAAACATGTGTGTCCTCCCCCCCCTGTTGGTGTGGCGGTGCTAGTGCAACAACTAGTAATAATAATAAAATAATATCAAATCAGCGTGATGCGTGACTGCGAGGACAGCGCGAAGCTCCTCACCGGGTTAAACCTGCACGATGAGTGATTAGCGCTGGGTCGTTAACCGCTAACTACCGGCCAACCGGGAACACAGACCTAAACTTTACAGGGAAGGCAGGGCCAAACGCTGGGCAGCGTGTTGAGATGTAAACACCGCATAATGTTTTGTTCACAAATATACATCATTCTCACCGCTCCTCAAAGCTCCTCTGAAAGCGCGACTTCAAGTTATTCCTGCGGTTCACGTAGAGCTGCGCAACCAGAGCTAACGCGGCGGGTTTTAAACTCTTACCTTAATCAATAACTCCTCATAACTAATCATAATTCCTCACAGGGGGTTGATGTAAATATGCATGGCGGTCAGCCTGTGTCCAGTTCGAGTGAAAGGAGGAGCGCTGAGGTTAACAGGCCAGCGGTGTGATTGGTCCGGCTTTAAATGCATAAACTATAAACACATCTTCTATAAACATATATTTTAGGAATAAATCTGCTCTGATAGTGAAACGCTCGGAGCAACAGAAACATTTGCAATCCGGCTTTAAAAAGGCTAATTTTTTTTCCTTATTTTATTTAACTTAAAAAAGAAAGGCTTAGCCTGGCGGTGGCGCTAGTAAAGCATGGCGGCCGCCAGACCTATAATACACTGGGGGATACCCTGCTTCCGGTTTTTGTACAAGTTTAATGAATTAAAGTGAAAAATAAAAAAATAAAAAGTTTCACAAATGAATGAAAGCAGATTTGTTTGCAGCAATTTGTGCATTTTAAGTCATAAGTTAGATGTGAACCTGGCAGGAGAAAGTGACGGATACGTCTGCAGCAGGAAATAGTTTCTGTTAGTAACATTTTAATTTGGGACAATTTTGCCAAAATTAAAATTAAAAAGTCTTAATTTAAATCAACTTCCTGTGCTGGACGCCAAGTTGCTATCCTTCTTGACTTTCAGCCCAGGGGCCACCAAACGTCAGTCCAGGGGCCCCACAGGGCTCTGGAGCCGTGATGGTGCATTTACAGAGCAGGAAAAGTGGGACTTTCCAGGTTTAAAGCATTTTTAAGTGTTTTCAGTTTAGATCGCAGGTCAGAACCAGTTGGTCCGGTCCGACCCAAACGATTTAAACATGACGGAGAATTCATCATCTCAAGATCTGGTTCTGCTGTAATCTGATTACTGTAGCAGAGAACATTCTGTACCTGAATCAGAACAGAACAGGTTCTGTGTGCTGTCGGTCGGTTCTGAATAAATCAGATCCGGTTTCTATGCTCTAACCTGAAGAGGTCAAAGGTCACCAGTGTTCCTGGAGGTGCCCACTCACCCCCGCCTCACACCATCTGCTGTGTAACTGAGTTAGAGTAACTGTAATCAGGTTAGAACCAAAGGGAGCCCTCTGCGGGTCGGAGGATCCGGGTCATGTTCATTTAATCAGCAGATAACGACATAGCCCCGCCTCCTCCTCTTCTTCCTCTTCCTCCTGTCAGCTGTTCTCATCACTTCACTCGCTTTATTTATAATCAATAATTTGTCTGTATCTCTGGGTTTCTGCTGTCTGGTTCTGGATCCTCTTATTTGGGCCGAATTGGTTCCATTTAAAGGAGAGGTTAGAATTTTTAAACTGGGTTTTTGTTGAACCAGAGGCCAGCAGGTGAGGATTTTATTTTCTACCAAGGTAAAAAACACATCAGAGCTGAAAAATGTCCTTCAGTAAAACATGAAGCCTAACTCCTTTCTCCTGGACGCCCAAGTCTTCAGTGGGGGTCTGGGCGCCCCCTGGTGGTCTGGAGGACTTCCTCTGTTTCTGGATCCAGTTGCAGCGTTTTAAACTTCCGGTTTTTGCAACATTTCATCTTATGGTGATGGCAACGCTTTTGTTTGCTCTTTGCTTTTGTTTGCTTTTGTCTTTGGTGAGTTGGAGTTTGCATCAGTCATGCGTTTGCAGCTTTCTGTGTGTTTTATATGGAGAGCCATGAGGGCCAAACATTTACCACCTGGCTAAAAAGTTATGCCAAAATAATGGATGTAAGATATGACAAAAATCTACTCAAAACAACTGCAAAAATTACAACGTTTATTTTGGTCACTCAACGCTGTTTTGAACGTCGACACTCGTAGAAATTATTTTTTGCTGTTCTAAGCCATAAACCAGCATTTCTTGCAGGAATTTTTAGCCATATGCGCGGTAAAAGAGCTGATATATGTCCCACGTGAATTTCCATAATTTTAACTGCTTGCAGCATATTTTGTGTTTACAGCACGATTCACCATTTGCAGTTTATTGTTCCGTAGTTTGCGACATAAATCCTCTGGTCAGCTTCCGTAGTTCAGTAGTTTTACGATCCGCTCTGCTTTGTAAATATTTTACTTCCTCTGCTTGTTGCTCCGTGTTGCTGCGTGGTTCTGACTCAGCCGGGTTCCTGACCCGTCGGCGCTGTGCGGTTTGTGAAGCGGGTCGGAACCGGAGGTTCTGCAGCTCCTCGCTGTCATCATGTGAGTCACGCTTCGCTCCTTCTGCTTTCTCCGCTTCTTCAGACAAACGATCAGAAAACAAGAGCGCCGTGAGTCACACAGTGAGTCAGCCTTTCCCACGGCCGAGCGTCCTGCTGCAGCATCCTAGCCGTTGCCATGGAAACGCCCACTCTTTGAAGCTCCGTGTTTCGACTCACCTCTGCTTTGCCCACAAAGAGACTGAAAAGTTTTCAGTTGGAGAGAAGAGCTGCAGCTCCAGATGTTCCCTAAGTGCAGCCGGACTCCTGTACCGGTCCAGAGTTCTGGTTCTGCTCAGCTCGGCCCGCAGGTTCTCCACTGATTTCAGGTCTGACGTTGTTTACATTCCCACCAGCCCAGTTCGGTCCGGTTCAACCCGACTCCGGTCTGTTTGCTATAAAGTTTGGCCCGGTTGGTGTGAATGCTAGTTGACCTCTGACCTCTGGTCCTCCAAACCTCGGTCTGGGTCCGTTTGAAGTGAAATCTGGTTCGGTTTGAATGTGAACGCCAAGCCGACCGGAGACCGCTCCAGAAGGACTACAGCGCAGGGCATTCTGGGTAAATACAACCAAAGCTAACGTGTTAGCCTAGCGCTAGCAGCAGAAATGGCTCCTGGTCTTTAGCCTAAAGAGAAATCCTCCAACACTAAAATCTGACGCCTCCATCTTGTTTCCATCTGGTGAAGAAGGAAGTTGCTCTCAGAGTCTTCAGAGGTTTTTGTGTCGTTTCCTTTAGTGGTTCTTGGTTCAAGTTTCTGTTTGTGATGGTTGGAGAGAAAGGAAAGGACTCGACCTGACGCTTCGCTCTCTCTCTCCTCTCAGCAGCTCATGTGAAGCCGGTTGGATTCGTCTCATCATCAGGAAGTTCAACAGGTACTTCCTGTTTTAGTACCTGTTGAAGTGTCACCATGACTCCGCCCCTGAAGCCTCTAAAAACGAAGTTTTGGGTCGGAAATCTGCAGAATTCACAACCCAGGACATTCTGACTGCCAGAGAACCGAGTATGAGCTGAAGCTGTGATTTTATTTAATTTTTCTTTTCTTGATTTCTTTTTTTATTTTATTTTATTTTTTGTCTAGGTTTGAATTTTTAGTAGATTTTTAAAATCTTTATTCATATTAATTTATTTAGCCTTTTTTTATATCTTGTTTCAACAGCAAACATTTTGCTGATTAAATGACCTTTTATGTGTTTTAAATAATAATTAATATTTTTTACTTGCAGTCGGTTCACTCTGACCTGATTTGGTTCTGATTTGAGCCGATGATCTGTTGGGTCCCCGCTGACCTCTGACCCCTGCTGACCCTGAATCAGCCTCTGGTCTTTCAGGAAGACGATTGGTTCTGTTCTGGCGTTTGGATGTTTAGATGTCTGGCATTGCTGTGATGATGTCAGCGATGATGTCAGTGCCTGATAAGCAGCAGCACTCTGCGGGCGGCTGCAGTCCGGTAAACACCAGCTGGTCCCTTCACACCAACACGTCCAGCAGGGACAGTCTGTCCCCATCTCGTCCTTCAGCGCCGAGCCTCAGCAGAACTTCACAGCTTCAGGTCCAGAACCAGCCTAGGTTCTGGATCTGGTCCGGTTGGACTTTACTCGAAGATAAAAATGGAAAATGATTCTACATGTCATTCTGTTCCTCAGTGGAGAAAATAGTTTTCCCAGATAAAATCTGAACAGCGCGGCAGGCCTGTATCATCCTGTCTGGTTCAGTTAAATCCACACAACAAAACGACCCGGTTCTGATATTTTAACCCAAAACATCCGACCTGTTCCTGTTCCACATGTTGAACTAAACCTGATGGTTTTCAGAGCGTTTTCTGAACATCGCATTTTTTTGACTTTTACTTTATCAACGTGAGAATTCAGCAGAAGAAGAATCTGACGTAAACAACGTCTGGAGATGAAAGAGTCAGTGAACGCATCACGTCCCAGCACCAAACAGAACCGAGACAGAACTGTTCCGGTCCTGGTTCTTTCTCTGGTTCAGTTCCCAATCCTGATCCTGGTTCCGGTTCTTGTTCTGGTCCAAGTTCTTGTTCTTGTAATGCTTCTGGTTCTGGTTTTGGTTCCAGTCTGACTGTGGTTCTGTTGGGTCCAAACAGCAAGAGCTTGCGGCCATGGAGGGCGACTGCCTGAGCTGCATCAAATATCTCATGTTCGTCTTCAACTTCTTCATCTTCGTGAGTTCAGATTTTATTTCTCTCCATTCAAAGGTTTAGCCCCGCCCCTAACCTAGCCCCGCCCCTCATTTCAAAAGAAAAGGAAATAAATCCAGATTTGAATAATAAAAGTCCATTAAATATTATGAATATTATGAAATTCATTAATGAATAACTAAATAAGCTGCCTATTAAAAATCTTTTTTAAATATTTATTTAAATTTTGTGACTTGGAGTGTTTATTTTCTATTAATATATTTATGACTGAAGTAGTTCCGACCTGTCCCCTCCACCGCCTGTTGCTGCAGCTGGGCGGCTCCGTCCTGCTGGCCGTGGGCGTCTGGGTGTCGGCCGACCCGCTGGGCTTCAGGGAGGCGGTGGCGGTGAGCCCCCTGCTGGTCACCGGCGTCTCCGTGGTTCTGGTTCTGGGCGGGCTGCTGTTCCTGCTGGGCTTCCTGGGCTGCTGCGGCGCCGTCCGGGAGAACCGCTGTCTGCTGCTGCTGGTGAGACAGGAAGTCCTATTGGACCGGTTCTACTGGTTTTACTGGGCCATTGTTCTGTTTATCTGTGCTACCCATAAATCCATCCTACCTTGAGATGATGCCACATTGACGCTACGTCACATTCTGCTGACTGAAGCTGTAATATTATTGTATATGAATCATAT